ATTGAGATTGAAAATTCTCCCATGTGCTATGCCCCTTAGGTCAGTTGCTAACTCATTATTTCAACTGGTGTTGATTGAGTTCAGTTATGTGGATGATTGCTCGGGTGCTTACCTGATTTTAGGACTAGATTAGTGGATTTGGATTCAGCATGCAATCAGATTATTTGTTGCTCTTGATTTATTATGAAATCCCTCGATGAAATGAACACTGTTGTGTTAATACCTGATCTAATCCAATTGTCCTCGCATGGTTTTATATCTATGAATGGCAAAATCTTATTTTGTGTTTTACACCCTGGTCTAATTTCTGCCCATCTTCCGAAGTTATTGAACTTGCCTGGATATGGAAAATCTGATAGTCAACTTTGGTTGTATATGTAGTCAGCTTTTGTTGTATATCACCTGCCTTCACAAACTCAGCAACTTTGTCATTTGAAGATTTGTTCCAACTCGAGTTAGCCATTCTTTCATGCTTGTGAAGAGTGTATTTATCCCTATATTGCAGTTTCCTTTTTTCCACAGCTTTCTTATCAGTTGGCCATTCATTGATGCCTATGTTGTTTCTATCTTGAGCTGGTGAACTCTCATTGATTGCACCAACACGTACATATACACTAGTTGGAATATTGATTTAGCAGCCACATGTGAAGCTGCAGATCATTGCTATTTGCTAGTCAATTTCGCTTTTTCCCTGGAATTTACAGCTACACTCATCATCAGCACTGTCATACCTCTGCATCAAAATTCCTATGCCCATTTCAAATTTATTAATCAATATTTTCCCATCGTAGGATTTTATGTGGTCGGGTTTTCCACTTGGCAATTTGAGCCAGGGTTTCTTTTCTACGTGTCCATGCTTGATTGTTGCCTGGGATATCGGGGCCTGCTGGGTGTGCTCCTTCTACCTTCTCGCTAGGCTTTTGAAGCTTCTTTGGGCTAGCGTGAAATTTTTAAATGACGGTATGTAGCTCGCTGGCTCCTCCTCCGACCATCTCGTGGCCCGTTTAGATTGTTCGGATGGAATTGGAGCCTTCTTTCCCAACCAGGCCAGGCCTCTTTATATTTATATATATATATAATTTCTCTTGGAACTTTCAAACCCATTACATAAAATGCATGTTTTTATAATCCTGCACAACCTAATAAAAAATTATCACAACAAATAACTATGAATTTTAAACACAAAACATTAAAAGTTAAACATAGAATGACCTATATATATATATATGAATAGCCGGGTCATAATCTTAAAATGAAATAGTTTATTTATTCAGTAATAGATATATATATTTTTGTGGTCATTTTCTTATCATTATTCTTTTAATTAATTCTAGTCCAAATATATCAAATAATAATTACAGCACATAATAAATATCATATCTATAAATAAAATGGATTACATTAAATATATCACATAACTTAAATGCAGGGCCTAAAATACAAGCCATCCTCAACACCAACGGATTCCATTTTCGCAACGTCGAATTACGGTTGGAGAAGCAGGAAGGGTTGGAAGCCGTCGCTTGCGCTCACACAGTGCGCTGTGCCAACGACAAGAAAAGTGGATTAGTGTGTAAATCATAAATCAATATCTTGAAAATATAATTATCTGCCGCCCTAAACGACGAGTTGGACGCCTAATTAACACATCTTACGACATCAAAGTACATTGATCACCTTATCTCTTACAAAACAATGCCACGGACCTACCAGTCGCTAATCTCGAGGCTCTCCCTCTCTTTTTCATTGACGACACTGTCATAAGTTCCCACCTAATTTATTGCCTTTTTTCAGGCAGACCTTGAAAAAAATCCTCAGTTTATAAAACTAATCCCGGTTAAGTTCTTAAATTATTTTTTTATTGACTTCTTGTCATATTAATGAGTTTTCATTCAAATATTTTCTTTAATCTAAGTTGATATAATGGGTAAGTAATGCTCTCAAAATCATGTTATTTTTCTATATCCCGTTAAAAAATTTTATGAGCTTGCTAAGATCTTCGAGTATAGTGAAATGTATTATGTAAATATTTAGCGTTTTTTCTCTAATTTGGTCTATAACATGATTTTTATATGATTCAAACCCGAGATTATAAGAAATTCAATAATTCAGCTACGAGAAAAAAAATATATATATATATGAGTTTCATGTGATTGCTGTCAGCTAAAAGTAATAAAAAATATAACTGATTTAATGTGTAATGTTTAAGATCATAAATACAAGATAATGTAAACAATTTATTAAATATCCTTTCTTATGTCACTTTTTCGTTGAGATTTAGAGCTTGCTTATTTATATGGCGGTCTCCACTGTACATGACACAAATAAACACAAAATACATGGCTATACACAGCATTAATAGACACAAATAAATCCTTAATATAATTAATTGTCTTCAAATAATCTATCACTATGATTATTTTATCCTAACAAAACATCCATTTAAATGGTTATCAATTTAAAACATGTTCTATGTCATCTAAACAAAGTTGAATTCAAAAAAATACTTTTTTTTATGAATTTTTTAATCTTGACTTCAACTAGATTATTGACATGCACTTTATCACGGGTTGGATCTATTTTTTCTTAACATAAAAAAGCCTTTATATTAAATTTTTTTAGTAAAAATAAAAATAAAGAATATAGTGGTTGACTTGATTTAACCTGATTAATTTGACATGTTTAGGGACAATCTAGACTGAATGGCGAAAATATAATTTGGCTTAGAAAAATATCAAAACAATATTATTTTTTAAAAATATTAAAACAACAATATATTGTATTGACATGGATCCACCTAGATCACGAGATTATGATAATTTTATATAAAGCAAGCCAAAATAGATTTAAAGCTCAATTCCCAATTAGATCAACGTTGATGAAATTAAAAAATAGATCTGAGTCAACGGAGGCTAGTTTGCAAAATACACAAACTCGGGTTAAAATATCAAGATTACCTCATGGAAAGTAAATCAGAATGAAGTATAAATCATCATTCTCGGTCAATCTAATATTGAACAATGCAATTGAAAACAAAATCAATTAATAAAAGAACATAAAATGATTAGATTTAAAGCTTAATTCCCAATTAGATCAACGTTGATGAAATTAAAAAATAAATCCGAGTCAACGGAGGCTAGTTTGCAAAATACACAACTCGGGTTAACATATCAAGATTATCTCATGGAAAGTAAATCAAAATGAATTATAAATCACCATTCCCGGTCAATTTAATATTGAACAATGCAATTGAAAACAAAATCAGTTAATAAAAGAACATAAAATGATTAGAATCAACTCGGTTAACATAACAAACTTGTGATTTGATTTACAAAACCGAGATAATACTATAAAAACAAATGAAAATAAATTATGAAGTTTAATTTCTAACCAACACACCAGTAAAAAATAAAATTAGAAAGAAAATCAATATATACATATAAAAGACACAACAAAACAACTCGAGTCAGTCAAAGTTAATTTGAAAAAATCATGACCTGAGTCATAAAATCCGTATAACATTATAAAAAGTACGCTAAAACAAATCATGAAATTTAGTTCATAATCAATTTAATTTTAAAAGATAAAATAAAAAAAATCAATTAAAAAGAAATTGGGTAATCCAGATTAACCCATTAAACTTACAACATGAATCATAAAACTGAAATAATCATATAGAAAATAAATAATAATAAATTATAAAATTTATTTTTTAATAAATGAAATGTTGAAGCATTAAAAGAAAAAAAAGCTTTTTTAAAAAAAACTACTATAATGAACTGTGTTATAATTAATTATCCTTTGCTAAAAATAAGTTTGGTAGCCAATTCAAATACCAGATAATTTGAAATTAGAAAAAAAAAAAAAAAAAAAAAAACGAAGCAAACCTAACCTAAAGGAGTTTTTCCCGTCCAATAACTCAGACCGACATCCACCGCCCTTCCATATTCATCTAGTCGAGGCCGACACGTCTGGCTCCAGGTCTCACTCGAGGATAAATTCTTCACATTTTTCTTCCACGTGGCACAAAATATCTGACTACGTCGTCTTTCTCAATTTCCACTTTCCTTCTCTCCTTTCATTTCCTCTAGACTCACTCTACACCTTCCTCGCGTATCCAACACGCTTCTACCGCATTCACAAAAATATCTACCGACTCAACATCTAGCGCTGGCCAAATTGTTCGGAGTGTGATTGTAATCTGATGCAGGGAGGCGTGATATTTTTTTTAAAGGTTTTTTAATGAAAAAAAATATTTTTTGAACTTTTAATATTTTATTACAGCATCTTAAAATAATTGAAAACATTCAAAAACATCAAATTAATATAATTTAAAATTAAAAATTATTTGAAAAATAGATTGAACCATCTTGTTTACATCCATCCATTCTAAATCAAAATGGATATAGATACTATCAAACCCAAATAACATTGTGGGTCATTCATTACTGATCTAATTAGCTTCAATGAATTTGCTTTTATTTTTTGCCCAACACGGTGTGTTTAATTTTATCCAAAACCATGTCGTTTTGAATTGACTTGCTAACTCAAAATTTAAGCCAGGAAGAATTTCATTTCAAACCGAAGTACCGAAGTGTGCCATCCAGTCAAACCTAAATGATCTGTGGGTCGATCCATAAACCAGCGGCTTCAACTACAAGGAATTTGTTTCAATTCTTTATCTAAAACAATATTATTTTAGTATTTTTTTAATTTTGATAAGAAAATAACTTGTTTTTAGCTTCACCCGGTAAACTCCCAACTCGGGTTCGGAGTCGTATCAGACCCGCGCTGGTTGGGTAACTATGCTAGCCTCTGATTGGCGAACACCTGGCAGAATATCAAAGCGCGTATAATTTTCTATTTGCTGCTGATATTTATTTTCGTTAAATGCACACGTCGGCTACAGAAGTGAAACTTGATTGGTCAAGCTCCTTTGGCTTTATTATTTCTTTAATCGCATCAGCTCTGCGTTGTATCACTGCTATAAAAGCCCAGCACTCCTGCGAAGCTAAAACATCAGTTACAAACGCAAATCACTTGACGCAAAAGCTTACTCATTTAACTCTGCCTTTAGTTGTTATATTTTCTTGCTTAAGTTCGGATTGTGAACTTGATCACTATGGCTGGGGTAAATAAGAGCCACGAGTATGAGACCAGGACCAAAGCTGGTGAAGAGAGTGGTGCTGCTGAGACCAAGGATCGTGGGTTGTTTGGTTTCATGGGGAAGAAAAAAGAAGAGGTGCCTGCCACTGAGTATGAAGAGAAAATTCATCGATCAGACAACAGTTATGTAAGTTTCTGATTAACTCGATTGATATATATTAATCTCATTGTTTATTTTAGTTGTTTTCTCTGTTGCTGGGTTTTTCTTGAAACTGACAGTTCTTTTCTCTTGTTGAAATATATTGCAGCCTGGTGATAGGGAGAAGAAACATGAAGATACTACTGTTACTTCTAACACAGAGACACCCCTTGAACCAGAGAAGAAGAAGAGTTACTTTGAGCAAGCCAAGGACATGATACCAGCATATAAGAAAACTGAAGATGTCCCTCCTTCTCCAGCTGAAGCCGCAGTTCATCCGGCAGAGACACCCCTTGAACCAGAGGTGAAGAAGAGTTACTTGGAGCAAGCCAAGGGCATGATACCAGCGTACAAGAAAACTGAAGATGCCCCTCCTTCACCGGCTGAAGCCGCAGTTCATCCGGCAGAGACACCCTTTGAACCAGAGGTGAAGAAGAGTTACTTGGAGCAAGCCAAGGGCATGATACCAGCGTACAAGAAAACTGAAGATGCCCCTCCTTCACCGGCTGAAGCCGCAGTTCATCCGGCAGAGACACCCCTTGAACCAGAGGTGAAGAAGAGTTACTTTGAGCAAGCCAAGGAGAGAATACCAACATTTAAGAAAACTGAAGATGCCCCTCCTTCTCCGGCTGAAGCCGCAGTTCAGCACACAGACACACCCCTTGAACCAGAGGAGAAGAAGGGTTTCTTTGACCAAGCCAAGGAGAGAACACCAGGATTTAAGAAAACTGAAGAGGTCTCTCCCCGTCCAGCTAAAGCCACAGTTCATCACACAGAGACACCCCTTGAACCAGAGGAGAAGAAGGGTTACTTTGACCAAGCCAAGGAGAGAACACCAGGATTTAAGAAAACTGAAGAGGTCACTCCCCGTCCAGCTAAAGCCACAGTTCATCACACAGAGACACCCCTTGAACCAGAGGAGAAGAAGGGTTTCTTTGACCAAGCCACGGAGAGAACACCAGGATTTAAGAAAACTGAAGAGGTCACTCCCCGTCCAGCTAAAGCCACAGTTCATCACACAGAGACACCCCTTGAACCAGAGGAGAAGAAGGGTTTCTTTGACCAAGCCAAGGAGAGAATACCAGGATTTAAGAAAACTGAAGAGGTCTCTCCCCGTCCAGCTAAATCTGCTTACAATGAAGGTGCATTTTCTCAGACAGAGACACCCTTTGAACCAGAGGAGAAGAAGGGTTTCCTTGACAAAGTCAAGGAGAAAGTGCCAGCACATAAAACTGAAGAGGTCTCTCCTCCTCTAGCTGAATCTGCTTATACTAAAACTGCATTTTCTCACACAGAGACACCCTTTGAACCAGAGGAAAAGAAAGGTTTGCTTGACAAAGTCAAGGAGAAAGCGCCAGCACAGAAGAAAACTGAAGAGGTCCCTCACCCTCCAGCTGCCGCATTTTCTCACACAAACACGCCATTTGAACCGGAAGAGAAGAGGGGTTTTCTCAAGGAGAAAGTGCCAACACATAAGAAAACCGAAGAATTCCCTTTTCCAGCTAAACCTGCTTATACTGAAGCTGCAGTTTCAAACACAAATACACCCTTTGAACCAGAAGAGAAGAGGGGTTTACTTAACAAAATCAAGGAGAAAATGCCGGGACATAAAAAAACTGAAGAGGTCCCTCCATCTGAATTTGATTCTACTGAAAATGTAGTTTCCCATAAAGGAGAACCTAAGGAGAAAAAGGGGCTAATGGAGAAGATCAAGGAGAAGCTTCCTGGGCACCACCCCTAAATATGAGGAAGTCAAGGAGAAAGAAAAGCATATTGCTTCCTATAGAATGATCATGGTGTTGCTTAAATGTGTGGTTTGTTTGGTTATATTCATTGTGGTTTAATATTTTTTTTCATGACAAGAAAAAAAAAAAACATTGTCTGTATTTCATAATGAGTGCCATATTTGCTTTGTACTTAAGTTTGTTTATGGTTTTAAACTTTCATGTTTTCAGGATCATTTCCTTTGTTTTGTTAATCTTTTTTGTTAGTAAACTATATATATCAATGAAAAATTATTTATTTTGTTTTCACTTCCTTCGACAATATTGTCTTTACTTCTTTTTCTTTAGTTTAATTCCAGCCTCTAGAAAATTTGATTGTTAGCGGGGTAGTCTCGGAGAAATGCTGCCTGGTGGGAAAGTAGCTCCTAAGGATATGGGCAAATATTCCATGATAGCTCTCGAGATCAAGATTTATGTTTCGTTTGCACCGCACAAATAAACGGGCACTCGATCATGCCACAAAAGAGTAATGCGACTACTTTGCGATGATGGGGTGTACACAAGTGTTGGCTTTGACTAAAAGACAGAAGAAAGAGCGATGCAGTTGTAGCTAGAAATCCTAGAACTTCCTGGAGGCCATAGACAGATGAAGAAAGGAAAAACAGCCAGTGACATTTCTCTGATCAGCTGTTACCTCCATGAACGTGGCTTCAAGGGCCCTACAGTGGATCTACGGGTCGGAAAAAAATAGCTGCTGCTTGAGGTGGAGAAATTGTGATTTTGAAGTGAGAAATGATTTGTTTATTTTAGACACGGCCTTGTGATCTACGGGCCCTTAAATATTGATGGCAAGTCATGCGACAACAAGGATTGACGATCGTGGGGCAATAATCGAAAATGGTGAATAGTCTTGAGGGAAAAGGTCCAGCAACGAAAGATTTCATGTTGCTCCAAGCATGGAGTTATAGGCCGAAGCAGCAATTAAAAAGCCCAATAAAGCATTTTGGAGGTCTCAATTTTAAGTTAGTTTTTTTATTCATAAAATAATTTAGACTGTAATTCTTTTGGGATTTCTAAATCACTTTTTTCAAATGCATTTTTAATTTTTTTTTTTATGAGATCTGAGAATTTGTAGAGATGGAAGATATTTTAGAGAAAAACAATTAAATTCTTACGAAAAACGAACAAGTTGATAGAAGGATGGGTTCAAAAATTTGAAAAATACAGGGATTAGATGTTGAGCTAAATTGTTTGACCAATTATTTTACTGGATCAAATAATAATCTTTGGCAATAATAAAGAGTGCCATTTGTTTAAAAGTTCATAATTGACATGCCTCAACCTGTAGAAAAGTTATAGGACTAGGGTATCACGTCATGGATTGGTTGGATGACCTTGAATGATGTAAAAATGGTGTTGTTTTAAAAAAAATAAAATAATATCATTTTATTTTATCTAAAAAAAAAAATCAACTTGCTCTTGATAAGTCATTCAATGCCAAATTAATTTACGAGGTTAATTAGGTTTGACTAAGTTAACTTCTATATAATTTAATTAAAATTTTAATTTAAATTAAATATCAAATCGATACCAGATTAATCTATGATGTAGTCGTCAAATAATATAATACTGGAATCTACAGAACCACTCAATAATATAATTTAACTTTGGTCCATGATATTCTGCAAGCGATGCTTATTTGGCCGCTGAAGAGCATAATTGCACAAAACAATAGACGAAAACATGCCTTGACGATATCCTCGAACGGACTAAACCAAGAAGAAATACCTTGTGATATAAATCAAGACTCTAACAAGAAAACAAGCTGACCATGAATCAAGTCACTAAGTACTAAGAAATTTTAGCATCACAGGAGAATCCAAGAAACTCTCAAAGCTTCCCATTCCTTTATATAACTATAGAGGCAATGGGAATTTGTAATTAGACAGAAATGATGAGTAGGAAATCATATCGGGACTCCCATTTTCTTTTACTTCTTGTTGCCTTTGCCATTATAGGAGTCATCAATGGCGAATACTTGATCGGGGTGGGGAGTTATGACATGACTGGTCCTGCTGCCAAGGTTAACATGATGGGTTATGCTAGCATGGAACAGAACAGTGCTGGTGTGCATTTTAGGTTAAGAGCTAGGACTTTTATTGTGGCTGATCAGAATGACCAGAGGGCAAGGTTTGCTTTTGTCAATCTTGATGCTGGCATGGCTTCACAGCTTGTGACTGTTAAAGTACTCGAGAGACTAAGATCAAGGTAAAATAAAGGGCAAGCAATTCTATTAAATGACACAGGATGAAGAAGTTATTTGATTAATATACACTCATAATAATCTTGTCATTTTGGTGATTAATGTGAAGGTATGGAACTTTGTACACGAAAGACAATTTGGCCATCAGTGGCATTCATACCCATGCTGGGCCTGGAGGTTATCTGCAATATTTACTCTACCATGTTACTTCTCTAGGCTTTGTCCAACAATCTTTTGATGCCCTTGTCAATGCAATTGAGCAAAGCGTAGTTCAAGCCCACGAGAATCTGAAGCCTGGCTCAGTTTTCATTAACACAGGTAATCAAGTTAATCAAGCATTGTTTTTTCCATTTATGAAGTGAGCTAGCTTAGATTCTGCAACTAGACTGCTTTCCCAGTTCGAAAACACATGGCAAATTGCATTACTCTTGTTTTAATTTTCAGGGAACGTTGAAAATGCTGGAATAAATAGGAGTCCAAGTGCATATCTACTTAACCCAGCAGAAGAGAGGGCACGATATCCAGCCGATGTTGACAAAGAAATGACCCTTTTGAAGTTCGTAGATAATGCTAGTGGTAAGAGCATTGGAGCATTCAGCTGGTACGCCACTCATGGAACCTCAATGTCTAGAGACAATAAACTCATCAGTGGAGACAACAAGGGTGCTGCCGCTAGGTTTTTTGAGGACTGGTTCACTTCCATCGAATCCAACTCATCACGTAGCGTGCCCACGCCTTCAAGTAAGCATTTCCATCTTCTGCAATATTGAATTTTTATACCAACCCACAAAGATAGCTCAATAGTTGAAGGACGCGATGCTCACCGGTGAAACCATGGTTCAAGGCTCACTTCTCACAGTTTACTAGAATAGAATCTCGAGTTGTTAGAACTTACTAAGGATCGATTTAAAGTTTTTCTATGGGCACAACCTGAATTAAATCTCGAGTCAATGAGCTTATAAGATAATCCACCAGACTGAATCGAGTCTTGTGATTATGGATTACACATCTGTAAGGAATTTATATGAATTTATACTACTTGATTTGGACGATGACGAAATGAATTCTTTGGTTACAATTATTCTTTAGTTCTTGTAATAATGTGAGCATGGATGGATCCGTTATGTGCATCTACTAGATATAAGCAAATTGATCAAGAAAGTGCGATCCATCAAGGCTACGGGAGGAAAACCATGCGATAGTTCAACTAGCCGAAGCTTCAAGGCGAGGAAAAGTGATGGATCGCAGTTTGTAGGGGCATTTTGTCAATCAAATGTTGGAGACGTCAGCCCAAATGTGCTAGGGGCATTCTGTACTGATAGTGGAAAACCTTGCGACTTGAACCACTCTTCATGCCATGGAGATGTCACCCTCTGCAAAGGCCGTGGACCTGGGTACCAAAGCTTTCACTAACTAGACTTAAATCAAATGAGCCCTTAAAATATTAATAAGCTTAGGCTTGACTCCATGGATTTTTTCATCAGATACCCGGATGATATATTGAGCACAAAGATCATTGGAGAGAGGCAGTTCAACAAGGCCGTTGATCTGTTCATGTCTGCCACCAAGGAATTGACTGGAAAGGTCGACTATCGCCACGTGTACCAAAACTTTAGTGAAATGGAAGTGGAGCTAAGTGGAAAGACAAAGGTTAGGACTTGTCCTGCAGCCCTCGGTCCAGGTTTTGCCGCTGGAACCACAGATGGGCCTGGCATGTTTGGGTTTCAACAGGGCGATACGGAGGTCAGCACCTTATTCTCGTTATAAAAAAATGTTTATTGGCTATTTAAAGCTTCCTTGAATGTTTTTTTCGGAATACATTATTGGAAAGAATTTCGTTCATTAAATGATTTTGGAAAGAGTATTATGTAAAATTAATATTTACCTTTTACTTTAGATTTTACTTGTAAACAGACAGTAGAGTATTTATTATCCTTGTTAGGGTGGCTGTGTGCATGAGAACTGATTTAACCAATGCTTACAGATCAACGAGCTTTGGAAAAAAGTGAGGGACCTCTTAAAAGAACCAAGTCAATTGCAGGTGGAATGCCAAAAGCCTAAGGCTGTTTTACTATCCTCAGGAGAAATGTTTGAACCTTATGCGTGGACGGTAAGACATCAAGGACTGTGACTGGACTGGCTTGAGTGTCCGCATGTGTTGCCTAGTAGAGATTTATTTTCAATTAATTGTTGCTTCAATCTTATGCAGCCAGAAATTCTTCCCATTCAAATTCTTAGGCTGGGAAAATTGATCATACTGTCGGTTCCAGGAGGTTTGTTTTCTTTCCCTCTGTAATGAAATGACTTGATTTACAATTAGTGCCAAAAAACAAGCTGCCGTGGCTCTTGACATTTGCAGAGCTCACGACAATGGCTGGTCGTCGACTGAGGGAAGCAGTAAAGGAGACATTGGTAAGTAACGGAGGAGGAGAGTTTGACGACGAGACCCATGTTGTAATAGCTGGCCTGACAAACACTTACTCTCAGTATGTTGCGACTTTTGAAGAATACGAGCAACAAAGATATGAGGTATGCCTTGGAGAGTAATTTATGAGGGTTCGCCAGAGACAGTAAGTCCAGGCATTGAACGTTTTTGGTCTCATTATGAGATAAAAAGATGAGGCTATAAGAGTAGCAAGACAAGAGTCCCATGAATCTTATGCGTGGCTTTCACTTAACCGATTTGATCAGAATCCATGCCTGTGTCAAAAACTAGAACTTGAAAATGTTGTTTTGGAGAAAAACATATATATTACTAGCCACATGCTAAACCTATTATGATTTTGCAAGCTAATAATGAATCGTGCAGGCTGCCTCAACACTCTATGGTCCTCACACATTATCAGCATACATTCAAGAATTCAACCACCTGGCACTGGCAATGGCTAAGGGGAGGAGTGCCCTACAGCCAGCAGACTGGTCACCGCCAGATCTTTCCTTGAAAGTACTCAGACTCTTAGCTGATCCATTTCCAGACTCGCTTCCCGGGGGTAAAAAGTTTGGTGACATTAAACAAGATGTCAGTGAACCAAAAGGAGGTTCATTCAAAAAGGGGGATAGACCGAGCGCCACGTTTTGGAGTGCTAACGCGAGGAATGATCTATTAACAGAAGGCACATTTGCAGTAGTAGAGATGCTCCAAGGACAACGATGGATTCCAGTTTATGATGATGATGATTTCTGCTTGTATTTCAAGTGGAAATTGGACAATAGCAGTCTCTACACTAGCTTAGCAACCATCGAATGGGAGGTGCCAGAGGAGGCTAGCTCTGGAGTGTATCGGCTAAGGCATTTTGGGTCATCTAAGAAAGCACAACACTCCCCCATTGAATACTTCACCGGAGCATCTAGTGCATTTACGGTATCATAATCGAGGAGATTTGTATTAAATGTTCGTTGTTATAAAAAATAAAAAAGAGCTTCCTTGAATCCAAACTATGCTTTTATTGATATTCTAATAGAATCTGCCTTTATTTGTTTGAAGATCAAACCCCACAAACATCGTGCAAATAGAAGGGCAGACGCTTAAACGAGAGCCTTCAAGAATCATGATGTACGAACACCTTTGGAGTAGCTTGCTTGTTTGTCCATCCAAATTACACATCGGAGACTCTTTCCTTCAAGTAATAAATCGAAGGCTTTGTTAATGTCTTCAAAATCGACCTCATGGGTCACAAACTTATCCAACTCCAGTTCCTGAAAGAGAAAAAACACTTTGTAAGCAAGCACGCATCTGCAAAACAAATTAGAATTAACATGCCAAAGCATAAATCACCAAGGGGAAAATACTTAAATGCTTTATATGACCACTTGGGACGAGGAAAATCCTCGAAACTGTAACATATACACAAAGTCTTGTGCCTCTAATAGCAAGAACAAAAAGGGAGGTTACATTATCAAGCCAGTTATATTGTTGGATAACGGGAGTTTTACTTAAGCCATGATAGGCAAGAAAAGAAAAGCTCACCTTGTCCATGTATCGCTTTAGGAGAGTTGGAATATCAGATTTAGCTTTGAGACCACCAAACAAGGCTCCAGTGAGGGTTTTCCCATTCCCAACGACATCCGCACACCGAAGGGAGATCAATGAGTCTGATTTTTCCACTCCTAAGATGACTGTCTTTCCCCATCCCTGAATTACACAATGATTTGCAAATAACAAGATTACCCAGCATACACAACCATGTAAATAAACAGTCATTACTGCCTATACAACTGTGTTAAGCTCCAGCGTAGAGTAAATACTCAGAAGCCTAGAGGAAGACTAGAACATTGACATAAATGAAATGGCATTTTGGAAGCAAGACCTTTCGACTGCAAGCATATGCTTGCTCCATCAAGGACACCAAACCAACACATTCAAAGCAATAGTCTGCTCCCCCACCAGTCATTTCATTGATCACCTGTTCAACATGGTAAGAAGAAAACACTTCAGAATGAACTACTCAGTGATCGGAGAGCGAAGCACTTATGTCAAAAATTCTAAATCCTGATTTTTCCAAACACCCATTTACCCCTCCATTATTTTTGCTCAGAGAAAGGAGAGCTACAAGGGGAGACTTCTAGGTGCTCTTTGAAAAGGCATATTATAGCAATTTTAGAAAAAATGCATTTCTATGTTATAGGGTTCCCATCTCGAAGCTGTGAAATCACAAGTTACTTCTGTATTCAGAAATCTGGTTGAAAGCATGCCATAGCCTCTGAATCTAGTAAAAGCTATCTATTCCTTGCATTTAAGGCATGAGGTTAGCTAACAGGCAGTTAACGTGTTTCCTCTAAACAACAAGCACAAACCATCGTTCATAAAGCAAGATCTCATCTCAAGCTAGCAGACGAACACGCACTTCTTCAGCTCTTTCCAATTGCTTTCCAACTCATGATTATTAATATAGAAAATAAACAATAAGGTAAAAGGATTGAGAGGAAAACCTGGCTCACAGGTTTATCCCCGCATTCTCCAACATTGACAAAGTCTGTGACTCCAAATTTTTTTGCTGTGGGGAAATGAAAATAAAGCATCAAACATAAATCATGCAATACACTCCTGACATTAATTTGATGACATAAACTGCTTGTGATCCATCCTAGCCAACCCCTGTTCTCATGATTATCGTGAAATGAAAATGCAGAAACTATAACCACTTTATTATTAAAATTTTAATATCATATCAAAAAATCATTTCAAAAATTTAAGATATCATAGGTATAGGTTAATAGAATGAGTCTATATTATTCTGCTTGCATGTGTGCTCATTTAAAGAAGTGATTCACGTCCTAGGATTTCAATCTATGAAATTTTGTGAAAAAATAGCATCAATGAGCCCATAAAAAGTACTCGCCAATTTCGAACTTTTCTTGATTCACATCCACCCCTATAATCTTAGTAGCGCCGCTTATTCTGGCACCCTCTGCAACCTAGAGAACAACCAAATAGCCATGACGTTATCCCAGCAGCCTAACATATAAATCAGAAAAGAGATAGATGTGTAAAACAGCACATAAGCATATATTCTCAAGAGATCATACTGCTAAGCCGATTGACCCAAGCCCAAATATGACAACAGTTGACCCAGCCTCAACATTTGCAGTTCTCCATGCAGCTCCAACCCCTGAATACCAATTCGTGGTCAATATTGTAAAAATGTTAAATAACTATTTTAATTCAATAAATTTAATAGGTAGCTAAAGTTTTAAAATAAAATTTATATTATTTTTTAATATATTTTTTAAAATAAAAATTCATTGGGTTTAAAATTTATATAGACTCACGTTACCTTACGTTTAATTTTTATCAAATAAATAAGGATAATGAGATTCGAACTCGTGACTGCTTGGTCATCAAGATTCTAATATTATATCAAAAAATCATATTAATCCAATAATTTAAACTATCATACAAAATCTCAACATATAATTTATATTATTTTTTAACAAATAATAAATAATCATGCATTATTTAAAACCAGGTGAAGATAAGCACATAGGTTCGGCTATCTTGTCCAAATGCATAACTTAAAACCAGCTCCGTTTCTCCAAACAATACATGCATAGAAATGGTTGAAAACGGTGTAAGCAAGATAGTCAAGAATTCATAGCAGGGAGTTTGGAGATCTGTAAAATTTCAAGAGAACTCAACTAAATCACCACTAGTCTTAATGAACTTGACCAAACATGAATTAGACAAAATGTGTCAGAGTTTTGCAACAGGGGAGATTGTAACTTTATATCATGAGTCAGTGGATTCCCGTACCTGTTGATACTCCACAACTGAGTAGGCATGCTTTACTTGGTGGGATTGAAGGATCAATCTTTACAATATGGGCTGTGTCCACCACTGTATACTCACTAAAACTTGATACATTTAGGAAATGGTATAGAACCTCTCCTTTTAGGTCAGTGAATCTACTGGTCTTATCTCTAGGCATCCAAGGAGAGAGCTGGAAGGGAAGTTTCGAACAAAGGTTACTCTTTTTTGATTTGCAGTCTGCACAATCTCCACAATCTGGCAAGAATACAGGAATCACAACATCTCCTTCGACAACCTCATCTACATCCTCCCCTACACTCTCCACAACTCTACATTAACACAAAAAAAATTAATTGGAACTTGTGTTAGTTGACCAAACATGCATATGATCAGAAGCATGCTCAAAAGCAGCAAATTATAACCTGACACCTACTATGAGTGTTTTTTTTTTTTTTTTTGCGGCAGCTGTTTTTTTTGCCAAACCACAAATTTCTAGTGATTGATCACTACACGAAACAAGCGCAGTTTAAAATTCTCGGACTCAAAAAAAAAAAAAATGTTCCATCTGAAGGTTATCTTCATATGTAGTGTAGGGTAGTGATATATGAAAAGAATTCAGAGCATTCAATACTCCACGAGTTATAAAAATAAAATAAAAAATCGAATCCGAGCCCATCAAAGATGATAGTATTAACGTTATAAGCTCAAAGCTGTTTTATACAACGCTTAACAACAGATAATTTTATTTAATTTATAATAAGTTTTGGAAACCACTGTATTTGGATTTAAAACCCCATTATTAACTTTTACATTTTCGAAAGCAAAAATAGAAAACGAAAATGATCCCATACAACAAGTCAATCTCCTTTTTCTCTAGGCTAGCAATAGAGTTGGTTCGGATAAGCTTATAGTGAAGCAGTCAATGCTCACTAGGAAGGAAAAAAATAACTGTTTGATTCTTTGACAAGAATACAAATTGAATATTATTAAACTCCCTATTCAATGCATTGAATCTTTGAAATCATGAACGGCAAATAAGTTTTTGTTTTCAAAATAATCACCGGTCAATACTGTATTTCTATATGCATGGTTTTGAACTGGCCATGAGAGGGCACAGTCGATGGCAACAGAAGGTTAGTTGCAGCTGTCAAAGCTACAGCCTTCGGGGCCCCTTGACTGGATCTATTAAGAAAATGGAAGCATATGGGTGCTGAAAATTACTTGGATTAAATTATTAAGAATAGTTTGAATTGCGGTTTATGTCAGGATTAGACGTTAGGTAGAGGGTGATTGGTGAGGGAGAGATGTGTCCATTTGTAGCATGCAGTCCACATCAGAATTGCCGTTCAAGCAATCATAATATTATTCAAATATTTACAAATTACTATACCATTGGAAAAGAAAACGGAATCCATTGAAGAATGATGGAAACCATGAACCAGTGAGTGTGAGGAAAAGAAGTGGATGGTGTTTTTTCACTTACCCGATAGCCTCATGGCCAAGTATTCTAGGAAAAATAGCAGGAAGATCCTTCAACAAATGACAGACAGATAGCACACAGTTAAAATAAAAGTTGTAATATATTATGTGGCTGTGCTTTCTGTTTTTCCATAAGTAGAAAGAGATTCTGAGATTGATCAGATGAAGTGAAAACCTTCAATTTCCAAAAAGTGACATCACTTTGACAGAGAGAGGTGCAGATAATTCGAACACGAACTTCATGATGACTCGGAGGAGCCACGATTATCTCCTCTATTACGAGAGGCTCTCCTGGTTTGCGAGCCACCGCAGCTGTACAGTTTCAAGCTACATGTTATGAACACGTATTTTCAAAAGCAAGATTTGTGCGTATACACGCACAGCTGAAAAGGGTTTTGGCTTACCTTTGCATCTAATTGGTTTCCCTGCTTCGACTGAGAATTTCTCTCCATCCATTGTAGCAACCAAGATACAAAACAGACTGGTAGCTGCTCTCTTGCTACAAAAAATTTGTAGATCTCTTCGGCTTTTTTAAGTAGTGAAAAATGTAGTGGTGGTTAGTAGTGGTAGCGACAGCACATTTTGTCCTGGTGTGGTTTTTTATTTATATTCGTTTGGCCAAGTTCCAAGTCTTTCTCGAGCAAAAAATCGTTTCTTGCCGTTCGGATTGTCTTTTTCTATTTGGAGAAACCGGTTTGGTTGCTTGAGTTGACTAGAAAAACTTATGAATCCGAATCTTATCTGTACGGTGTTTTAAGTTGACATGGCAAAAATCAATTATTTTATTGAGGTTGACTCGGTAAATTCAATCTAAACTCAGATGAGGCACGCATCAGGGAATTAAAACAAGTAAAAATAAAATAACACTTATTTAATAAAAATATTAACATTATAACACATGAACTAACTCAGTAACTAATAATCTAAGACCCGGTCAGTGTTAAGAAAATAATTAAAATAAATATTTTTTATTAATCTCTACTCAGTACAAAAAGTCAAGGAATTTAACAACTTTAGACAATCAAAAAAATTATTTCAATCACGGAATAAAAAATTTGATAAAGCATTCTGTGTGAGTGTGTGTGTGTATCTTGTTATACAACTATATAAAGTCTATTTAAATTAAATATAAAATATATAATTAAATTATCAAATAACTATATTTTATTTGGTTCCCAAACAAACTATGATAATTTTGCGTAATCAGAGCGTGTGTTCGGTTGAAAAAAGAGAAACGAAAACAGGAATCATGGAGGGGTTGGAAAAGAAAATTATGAAATCAAATGCACGCAGGAAGAAAACGGTTTCATATGCAAGAAAACCTCTAGCTAGTTACCTTCGCAGCTAATAGAATGGCCTTTCTGTCGAAGGTGAAGCAATTTTAATTTTTTTAATGTTCTTTTATTTATTTATTTTTGGTTTAATTTTTTGGACTTAATTCTATGAGATAGAACTTCTAATTGAATTAAGAAGATAAAATTTAAAATGAAAAGATCAAAATATAAAAATGGCAATCTCAGAATTTTTACTGCTTTTATTTTTCATCAAAAGTACATTTTGTTAATTTTTTTAGTTTGTGAAGCAAAGAGGGAAAGGAGAACTCATCGGAAAACGGCGAGAGAGTATTCATTTTGTCACAATTTGGCCATAGAAAATAAATTTTTTTGTTTTAACGGGTTTTTTTATTAAAAAAATAAAATTAATTGAAGATGGTTTCTCTCTCTAAATATATATCAGGAAATGTTGATGAAGTTCTTTTTTTTTTTTTAATGAGTGATTATGGGGTGTTTTGGAGTTGGTTTTATGAATTTTTATGATTTTTTTTTTAAATAAATTTTTAGGATGAAACCCCACCCTCAAGTCTCTCGGCGCCATAACAACTAAGAGATTCTATACAGCGACATATCTCCCCTGAAAAGACAAAAAAGCAACCATGCATTGTTTGTCCCTTTAGTCAAGTAAGAAGATAAAAAGGGCATCGCATGTGGTTTCTCCTTGCAAGCCCTGAGATATTTATTTATTTTTATGTTTTAAAAATATTTTAAAAAATAAATTTTATTATTATTTTAAATTAATATTTTTAGATATTTTTAAATTATTTTAATATATTAATATTAAAAATAATTTAAAAATATTATTTTAATATATTTTTAATCGAAAGCTACTGTTACTAACACTCTCAAATATCTTTTACTGTTTTAAGAATTAAAATATAAATATTTAGAATAAGAAAGGTGTGAATCCTCGCTCACTTATTTTGATGCATTTTTTTAATTAATATTTATATTTTAAAAAATTATAATGAGATTGTTGTAATTTATCTTTATTTCTTTTCTTTTGTATTTATATAAATAAGTTTTATTTCCATGATATTTATAAAAATAAAATTTACACGCTCTTAAAGAAAAAATATCAAAAATAAAATAAATAAAAATATTAAGATTAAAAAGCAATATGTATATTTTTTTAATCAAAAAACATGATATTTGAAAAAAATACACAATATTAACGTACTCTTTTAACATGTTCAAAATTAATTCGAATCTGTACCTACGGAACGTGAAAGGTCAAACTAGTAACAGCCATGCCATCTGTCTAAAAACACCCTTAGCTATGCTTAAAAATAATAGAGGGTGGTTAGATGAAGATTAATTGAACCTATTAAAGATATTAGGGTGGACCTAACCCATGATGCAGTCTTGGAATCTGCGTCATGGTTCGGAATAATTTTATCAGGTTAGAGTTTTGGTTGATAATTTAGTTATAGTTATTTATTAAAATGTTTTTTTAATATATTAAAATTATTTTTTATATTATCTTTTTAAAATAATTTAAAAATACTAAAAGAAACATTAATTTAAAGCAAAAATATTTAATTTTTAAAATAAAAAAACAAACAGCATTTTAGCCCAAAATAATATATTTTTTAAATTAAAATAATATCTTTTTGAATTATTTTTAGTCAATTTAAATTTTGATCAAGTTGATCAAGTTATAAGTTAATTTAACATGTTAGTTTGATTAATCAAGTAATTTTTTATATATTTAATTTGAGACTCCATTTAAATTGGATCTTGGATCGACGGGCTACGGTTGACTTGCAAGTTAATAACAATGGAATGTACCATTGAATTTTACCTTCCATATAAGACAGAAATTAAAAAAATAACCACACTCTCGTGATCATGATTATAAGAGTACCCAAGTTTTCTCTCTTACTCCTTGTCATTTCGCTTCGTCAGATGTTATATGATCAGACGCCACAATTTACGATAGTCTCACCGAATGAAATATATACTAGCTGGGAGGACCCTTCCCATTCCAAGTATTCATGGCTATAATTATTGCGACTTCGCCATGAACAACCATAGGTTCCCTACTCGTCTCATCCGCATGCAGCCGGAGGGGTGGGCTCCGTTACCTTTAACACTGCAGTTAACAGCATCTTGACGCTGGCAGAACCTTTGGGTCCGCATTCACACGTGCATATGAACCCATCGCAGAGACACATGGGCCTAAGTTGATCTCGTATGAGATGCGCCGTCCTCTGTCGAGAATGACAGAAGGTGAAAGCTTCGATGGTGGAAGAGCTAAGGGTCCCTCCTCGCAACAGGACTCCCTTCCAAGGACATTACGGGAACACAATTTCAAAGACACTAGGTGATATGCCCGCTTGATGTTGGAGGTTTGAAATATATTTATACGTTGTTGTTGATTTATGAAAAAATTAAAAAACAATTATGAAAAAAACTATAAAAATAAATTTTTAACCAAGTTAATATTTAGAAAATAAATTACAAATAAAATTTTAAAAAAAAATCACAACAAGAAAACAAACAAAAAAAATTGTATAGCAAAATACTGTAGCAATTTATAGTGTTTCATGAAAAAATTTATAGTAATAATTCTCAACCAGTTCAATATTAAAAATAAAAAAATTAATAAAGATAATTTTTTAAAAAATTCATGTAAGAAAATATTGTAGCAATCTATAGTATCTTAAATTAAAAAACAAAGTTAAATTCTCAACAAGTTCAATATAAAAAATCAACAAAGACAATTCTGAAAAAAAATTATAAAAAAATAAAAAAAAACATATGGAAAAACACTGAAGTAATCCATGGTGTTTAAAAAAACTACAGAGCTAAATTTTTAACCAGCTTCATATTAAAAAATAAAACCAGCAAAATTGTTTTTGAAAAAAACACAAAAAACTAAAAACATATGTAAAAAAGGTTAAAACTGAATTCTCAATTAGCTCAATATTAAAACAAATTGGACAAAGATAATTTAAAAAAAAAACAAGTGGGCAAACATTGTAGGAAAACAAAAATCATATAGAAAAACATTGTAATAATTTATGGTATTTTAAATAAAGAAACTATCAAGAAAAATTGAAAAAATACCATTTTAGAAAAGAAGAAAATTCATTTTATAAAAGGGAAAAAAACCATGCAAAAAAACATTGTTGTAATCCATAATGTTTTTTTTTTTTAAAACTACAAAACTAAAATTTTAACCAATTCAATATTAAAAAAAAATCAACAAAAATAATTTAAAAAATATAAAAACAAAAAAAATAATAAACATGTAAAGTCCAGAAAAAAGGAAAAAAGTACAAAATAAAAAAAAAAACAAACAAAAACGAAGAAGGAGAAGAAATAGCATGTGGCATGGGAAAAGCTATAATACTTTCTCCGTGCCTTTTAGAGTGTTAGTTAACTAGATTTTATGCCACACAATGTTACAAGCTTGTGGTATGTTTATGTGTTATTATGAGTTTGTAAAAAAAATTAAAAAATATGGAAAAAAGTTGTTATAATCTATAATATTTTCAAATAAAAAATTACAAAGCTAAATTCTTAACCAGCTTAATATTAAAAAATAAAAAAAACAAAGAAAATTTTGAAACCAATCATAAAAAAATGAAAGGAAAAAAAAAAGCAGTGAAATACTGTGATGATCTATAATATTTCATGATGAAATATACAATTGTAATTCTCAATCAACTCAATATTAAAAATAATAAAATTGACAAAGATAATTTTAAAAAATTATATGGAAAAACACTGTATCAATCAAAGTGTGTTTTAAAGAAAATAACAACGAAGTTAGATTCTTAATCAACTCAATATGAAAAAATTAAAATCGATAAAGATAATTTTAAAAAATAAAATAAAAATAATATGGAAAAATACTATAGCAATTCATAATGTTTTTCTTTTAAAAAAATACAAAACTAAATTTTCAACCAGCTTCATATTAAAAAAATAAAAAAAAATAATTCTAAAAAAAACACAAAAAAAAGAAAGAAGATAATTTTGAAAAAAAAAACAAAAAAAAAAGAAAAAAACATGTGAAAAAAGTTAAAACTAAATTCTCAACAACCTCAATATTAAAAAAATAACAAAGATAATTAAAAAAAAAATATGTAGGGAA